TAGAAGTAAAGACACTTTATATTCTAGTTTCTTGGATAAGTCCCTTTATTAAACTGGGCCTCACTTACAAAATAAACATACCCAACTACTAACTTCAAGTTCTCTAATTTAGGATTAAATCTTTGTCTAAGAACAGAAGAAAGGAGTAATCTAAAGCAGACTACACCAATCTTTAAACTGGCATCCAGGTATAAGGTAAACAAAAATGCTGCAAAGCAGAACTTGTGCATGTCCTTCACGCGTGGTTTTGGCTCAGCACTTACTAAGGATCTCAAGGACAGGAGGCAGCTACAGGGTTAAAGTAGAGATGTACCCTAGCTGAGGAACATGCTTAACTGTTCTAGAACATTCAGGCCACATTAATCCATACTTCCAAACACTTAAGAAATCAAAATAGTCTCAATTTGAAACTTTCTAGTTCTAATTCATTAGTTAATCTCGTAGGCTATTCCACTACTGGACAACTTAGACGTGCATCTGCATTCTCTACATTTATGCTGGGAGAAGAAAGGGAAAAGGAAACGTGGTCAGGATTTCACAACCTCTCTTCAGTATTCTGAGTACTTTGAAGAAAACTATGATTTCAAAACAAGGTTATTAAATATTAAAAAAATTCATAGTAGAGCAACTATATTCTAGCTTCTAAATTCTTAGGTAAGTTTTAAAAGAAGGGAAACTATTACTACCTATGTATCAGGTATTGAAATAAACAGCCCTAGGCACATTACAATACTTAGTAAGCTGGTTAGTTTTTGTCATCTTGACACAAACTAGAGTCACCTGGGAAGAAGGAACCTCAAACGAGGAATTGCTTCCATTAGACTGGACTACAGGCATGTCCATGAAGCATTTTCTTAACTGTTAACTGAGGTAAAAGGGTCCAGTCTACTGTGGGCAGTATAATCTCTGGGCAGGTTGTCCTAGATGGTATAAGAAAAACAGCTGAGCAAGATGGGGGAGCAAGCCAGTAAGCAGCATTCCTCCATGGCCTCTGCTTCAGTTTCTGCCTCCAGGCTCCTGCTATGAGAGCATGCCCTGACTCCCCTCCATAGTGGTCTGTAAACTATAAGGTGTAATAAATAAACCCTTTTCTCCTCAGGTTGGTTTTGGTTAGAGTGGTTTATCACAGCAATAGAAAAGCAAACTAGGACACCTGGCTTAGGAAAGCTATTTAACAAGCATTTAATATGCACTATACACCATGCAAGGTGCCAGAAATAAACAAAAACTAAAGTGGTGGGGGGAAATTCCTGTTTTTAAGAAGCTAAGAATGTAACAGAGACAGTCCCACACATGACCAATTACAACGCAAAGTAAGAGCTATGAGTTGGGTGTTGTGATGCACATCTGTAATCCTAGCACGGAAGCTGCAATGGGAAGATTATAAATTCAGGACCAGCATGGGCTACAGAGTGAAACACTGCCTCAAAAATGAAAAACAAAAAGCTGTGGATACCTTAACAGTTAAAATGCTCACTGTGCAAGCTTCAGCATGAGGACCAGAGCCCCAGTGTCCAGAAACCACATCAATTTTGAGTGGACGCGGCAGGCACTTGAAATTTCAACACTTGGAGGGCTGAGACGGGATCCCTGGACAGAGCTGGCAAGCTAACCTAGCTGTATCGGTGAGTTCTGGAGTCAACTGACACTGCCTCTGTGAATAAGGTAGGGAGACCAAGGGAGACTCCTAGGGTCAAACTCGGGCTTCCGCACGTGGACACACACACCACAAACCTTCACATGAAAAAGAAAAATAAGGGGGCTGGAGAGATAGCTCAGCAGTGCAGTTAAGAAAACAAATATGTGATTACAACTTAGAATGTGTACAATGATAGGTACATGATTAACACTGAGAGGACAGAAGCAGCTACTTTAGAATGAAGAGCTTGTCCTTGGAAGATCATGTAAGTTAACACCTTTAAGAAAGAGCCAGTGAAGAGCTGGCAAAAAAGTTTTAAGCACAGAGCCATTAAGAAAGCATCTGGGGTTGGAGAGATGGCTCAGCAGTTAAGAACACTGGCTGTTCTTACAGAAGACCTGGGTTCAAATCCCAGCACCCACATGGCCGCTAACAACTGTCCATAACTCCAGTTCCAGGGGATCCAACAGCCTCTTCTGTCTTCCGCGGGCATTGCACTACACAGGTGCATTTACATACCTGCAGGCATTACACTCATACACATAAAATAAAAATAATAAATAAAATATTAAAAAAAAGAAAGACTGATATTTCAGCAAAGATAAATGTAAACGTAACTAGAGACTGCAAATAGGGAAAATGGTATGTGATGAAAATGGCATGTCACATTTCGATATTTTGGTCTTTTTGAGACAGGGTCTCCCTGTAGCCCCAGTTGGCCTGGAACTTGCTATGTAGACCAGGCTGGCCTCGAACTCACAGATCCACCTGCTTCTGCCTCCTGAGTGCTGGGAGTACAGGCGTGTGCCACCGTGCCTGGCAGACTGATATATTTTTTAAAGATCACTAGTGCTATGTGGAAAATGGCCTGCTAAAGAAAGCCAAGATTATGCAGGAGGGGTGGGGGGAGGCAAGATTAGATGACATGGAGACAGTTCTTCAAAGCAAAAAGTGATTATTTGGATTAGGGTATGAATAAAGTAAATCTGTAAAGAAGCTACCAAAAGACACTAAGAAAAAGAGGAGGCCATGAAATGAGCAGAGCTTCAGGAAACCAATTCCAGGCAAAGGAAACAGCAAATGACAAGAGAGAGATTATATCACATCATTGTTGGGGTGCAGCAAGTTAACAGGCAGACAAGACAAGCACACAGAAAAGATATAAGGGGCTGGGGAGATGGCTCAGCAGTTAAGAACACTGGCTGCTCTTGCAGAGGACCTGGGTTCAGTTTCTAGCACCCACATGACAGCTAACAACCATCAGTAATTCTAGTTCCAGGGGATCCAACACCCTCTCCTAGACTCACACTGCAGGCATTCCATGTGCAGGTACACTTACAGCTAGGGGGGCTGAAGAGATGGCTCAGAGGGTAAGAGCACTGGCTGCTTTTGCAGAGGACTCAGGTTCGGTTTCTAGCACCCACATGGCAGCTAACAACTATTGGAAACTCCAGTTCCAGGGTATCTGGTGCCTTCTTCTGACCTCTGTGGGCATTGCATACATGGGTGCACTTACATTCATGCAGCCAATATAGTCATACACATTAAAAAAAAAAAAATCTTAAAAAAAAAAAAACCCAGTAATGCTGGAATGGTAGATAGATGCTAGATGGTGATGGTCTAACATACAGAGTTAAGTAAACTGAACTTGAATGTTCTATTGTTTTGCTCCTGCAAACAATGACATATGAGACTTGAGAATTCTGGAATCTATACTTTCAAAATGCTCCAGTTTTTGGTTTTGTTTGTTTGCTTGCTTGGAGACAGGGTCACACTATGTAACTGTAGCTGGCATAGAACTATATAGACCAGGCTAGCCTTGAACTCACAAAAATCTTTCTGCCTCTCTAGTGCTGGAATTAAAGGCGTGCACTACCATGTTCAGCCTGCTCCACAGTCTTTCAGTAGCCTACCTTTTAGATTCTTGTACTGTGTAGAGCTCCCACAAGGAACACTTAAAAAATGGACAGATATCCATATTCAATTTTTTTTTCTTTTGGTCTTTTTGAGACAGGGTCTCCCTGTAGTCCCAGCTGTCCTGGAACTCACTATGTAGACCAGGCTGGCCTCGAACTCATGGAGACCCGCCTGCCGCTGCCTCCCGAGTGCTGGGATTAAAGGCATGTGCCACCACACCCGGCTATCCATATTCAATTTTAAAGCACAATCTCAGAAATTTAAAGCAGCTTATTTGCATATTCCTACCTAGCAAAGAAAAAATGAACAAAGCCAAGTAGAATATGTTTATACACCCACAATGCTAGACTTGCCAAAATCCCATCTCTAGTAAGGAGCAGAGAGTAGTGGCTACTGAGAAGTCATTCCATGGGGTTCCAGGAAGAGTCATTTAACTAAAAGCTTCTACAAAAACCAGAAATGACAAGTAACACTTTAATTTTTCATTTCTCCTAAGATTAAGTACCTTATTATTTCTAAATGACTATTCACCAAACGTCCTTATTTTGCAGATGCCATATTTTTATATTTCACCATTTTACTTACAAGCAAAGCACTAGGATCTCCATTTAACTGGCTATCATCTCGAGATTTCACATAACGACGATGATTTTGATAGAAATTTGACAGTCCATAATACATAAACACATTGCCCTAGAGAAAACAGAAAGGGGAAACATTTTCACATAAAAACGAATGTTTATTCATTTGTTTCATGTGTTTGTAAAAGCTAAGCACACTTTACTAGTTTTGTGATAAAACAGGTACTGGAGTAAATTCTGTAAATAGCATCTAAAGTTGCACAATTATCATGGCTGGGGATAGAGCTCAGTGGTAGAGTGCTTGTCTATTATGTACATGTATGAGGCTCTGGGTTCAATCCCAACACTATAAAAAATAAATAAATGAAAAAAAAATAAATGTCACAATTGTAAAGATAGAATGTGTATGTTACAAAACCCCAAGACTAAACTTTTCAACTCTCCTTACAATATTTGCAGTCTGGGGAGACGGCTCTGTGGGTAAAGTACTTGCTGTGAAAGCATGAGGATCTGAGTCTGGACCCCCAGTACCCATAAGAAGGCCAGGCGTGGTACTGAACAACTACCACAGAGCTGGGAATCAGGAATTAGAGAGAGGTAGATCCCAGGGGCTTTCTAGCCAGCCAGCCTCGCTGAAAAGGCAAGCTCCAGAGTTAGGGAAAGACCTGTCTCAAAGAAAAGTGAAGGAGGAAGACACCTGACATTGACCTCTGGCCTCCACATGTATCCATGTGTAACACTCACACACATGTGCACACATGCATACAGCACACACATATTATTTTCATTAAAAATGATATTCAAGGAATTTGTGTACTCTGAGCTACTCTGAATATACAACTTCCTCTAATTCAGACTGGTTTTCATTCAATTACCATCAACCTTTCAGAATTAGTTATTACTAATTACTATTACTAATATCTTTGTTATCAAAAAGACATTACTAAAGTATCTTTGACTATGCTGCTTTATAATAAGCAAGAAAAGTACTTTAGTGGAACAAACCTCAAAATAACTTGGGAAAAAGTATAACATGCATACTCTGTAGTTAACTACAGTATTCTAAGAAATCATTTGACTAAAATTTAGAGGTAGTAAAAATATCATTTTCTGCTGATTACAAAGTGCATATTTTTATATTTGTATCCTCAATGTAAAAAGATTCCCTAACTTAGAAGTGATTTCTTTTTTTATAAGACTTGTTTATTTTTATGTGTATGTTTCCCTGCATGTAAGGTATGTGCACCACACGCATGGACATGTCTGCAGAGACCAGAAGAGGGTATCAAATCCCCTGAAACTGGAATTACAGATGATTGTTAGCCATAATGTGGGTGCTGGGACTCAAACCCAGGTCTTCTGAAAATATAGCCAGTGCACTTAACCACTAAGCCATCTCTCCAGTCCATAAGTGATTTACTTGATTTGCTTCTTTCACATTTAAAGGGTGATTATTGATGCATTTAGTGGCATAAGGATGTAATCCCAATATTCAGGAAGCAGAGGCAGGAGGATCATCATTCTAAGCCAACTTGAACTACACCATAAGTCCAAAGCCAGCTTAAGATACACTGGAAGAAGACTGTCTCAAGAAAGTAAAAAAGTAAATAAAAATATTGTTAAATACCCAAATAAGCTTTTCCATACTATATAGTGGAACTGTTTAAATGGAAATCTTGGGGAGGGTGTGTGATCAAAATTACATGACAAAAAACATGATAAAAAAAAAAAAAGGACAGCATCTAACTTAAGAATCAATATAGTAAGCTGTATCTGCAAAGTGAAAAAGAGATCTTAATAAATTCTGATAAACTACTTTACATTCCCTGAAATGGCTTTAGTCCAATTTAAAGCCTGTGAGGAAACAGATAACCTACAAGCAATAGATGTGAGGTTGATCCTGTTTGCTAAAGGAAGTTCTAGAGCCAGGCGTGGTGGCGCAGGCCTTTGATCCCAGCATTTGGGAGGCAGAGGCAGGTGGATCTCTGTGAGTTCAAGGCAAGCCTGGTCTACATAGTGAGTTCCAGGACGGCTGGGGCTGCAAGGAGATCCTATGTCAAAAAGACCAAAAAAAAGGGCAAGTTCTAAAATAAATGTTTTTGAATAGGGAGGAGAAAATTAAACTTCTATAAGAGTCCAAGTCTCTCAATTCTTCAACTATACTGAAAATAATTAAATTTAAAGGATATATATTAAATAAATTCCTGTGTTCTGCCAAGTTAGTTGTGCTCACGCCAGCATTTTCTCTTATCTTGGTGCAAGAGCACCTGTAGCCACTAGATGGACTCCACTTACCCACTAGATGGCCTCCATTTACCAGAAACTCCTAACATCTTTACACCAGAAAATCTTGAAATACAAACACTAAATAAAGTTGGCATTTTTTGCCAGTTTTGCTCCCTGAAGAATGCTGTTAAGCTCAATTTCCAGGTAGAGGATAGAACTAGTCTTTCTCCATGCCAAATATGAATTTGTATGTCTTTTCCCAGATGCTCAGTTAGCAAGAATAAACACACACACACACACACACACACACACACACACACACACACACACACACGCGCGCGCACGGACTTCCAAATAACAAAATATAAAATATCAGTAATGTTTTAATAATTGTTTGCATTTTGGATAATGCTTCTTATCTCACAAAATAATTCAATTAGGTAATAGAATAATCAGTATTCATTTTCTAAAGTAAGACTTGTTTTATAATTAAATTGTAAAAGTGGGGGTGCACACCTTTAGTCCCACCACTCAGGAGGCAGAGGCAGGCAGGTCTCTGTGAGTTCGAGGCCAGCCTGGTCTACACAGTGAGTTCCAGGCAAGCTGGGGCTGCAAGGAGACTCTATCTCAAAAAGAACAAAAAAAATAAATAAAAATTTTAAAAAGGTGTAAAACAATTTAAAAATAATTTTTAAAGGTTTATACCATCTAAAGAGAAACCAGAGTACTAAGAAATAACTTTCAAATCTAAGCACAAGGAAATATAAACTTTATATAAAACTTATTCGTAACATTACAAAATTATTCAGTGAAGGATAAAATGATGCCTTAAATTTTGTCTAAAAGATATTAAAAGGCAAAGAAAGCATTCAAATAAAAATATTTAATTATCAAAGAGCAAACTACAACAACCAAGTACACAAAACAATCTTCTTCAAATATGTATGGATTCCAATAAATTAAAATGATTTCTGAACATAAATTATGTAGTAAAACATAAATATTAATATTTAAAAGCATGACTTTTCTAACACATTACTTTAAAACACCAACCTCAAATGATTCTTCAAGAGTGAAGTTAATGGTACAAAAGCAAGATGTGACATTTGGAGACAAACATTTATTGCAGGGGCTGGAAGGTTCTGTTCCGGTATAATCAATCTGCAAGAGAAAAATGTTAAGTGAGCACTTTCTTGAGAAAGGGGATGCCTAAAACACTGATGTAACTGCTATTAAAACGAAAGAAGTGCATTGAAGCTACTCAGCCTGAACAAACACTGCTGTTAAAGTCATGGATATTTTGACAATGTGAGGTATTAAATATTGAAAAATGTTCTCTTTGTTCACTGTTACTCAAATCCTCTCTCTTTTCCACCAAAAGAAGTGTATTTATGGATAAAATCAGAAATACAAAATTTAAAGCTTCATGATGCAAATGGCAATAAGGTCTAAACTATGAAAATTCCAAATTAATAGAACCAATACATCTTAAATATTTCAATTTTGGGGCTGGAGAGATGGTTCAGAGGTTAAGAGTACTGGCTGCTCTTGCAGAAGACCCAGGTTCAAATCCCAGTACCCACATGGCAGCTAACAGCCATCTGTACCTCCAGTTCTAAGGGATCTGACGCCTTTTTCTGACCACGGGCACTGCACGACATGGGTGCATTTACATGCATTCAGGCAATTACATACACTCATATATATAAAATAAAATATTTTTTAAAAGTACAGCTGCAATATAGTAATAGTGTTTTGAATTTGTAATTCCCTAATGATATGATGACTGTTGAGCATCTTTCAAATGCTCACTTACCATCTCATGTTAAATCTCTCTTTTGCTTAAAATTCATGTTTAAACCATAAACCCATTCCCCCCAACATACCCACGGTGGTATCTGGAGGTGGATTAAATGAAGTCATAAGGATTATTTCCCATATGGGATTAACAGCCTTATGAGAGAGAGAGAGAGAGAGAGAGAGAGAGAGAGAGAGAGAGAGAGATCAGAACTCTCTCAATCAATCTGTCATCTAAGCACAAAGCTAGAAGGCAGCCATCTGGAAACCATGGAGGATCTCACTGGGAACTAAGCCTATTAGAGTACCTTGATCTTAGACTTCCCAGCCTCTCTACAACTGTGAGAAATGAATGTCTATTGTGTTTTTGTTGTTGTTTTTTTATATTTGACTTGAGACAGGGTCTCACTATGCAGCTCTTTGCTGGCCTGGAACACATTATGCAGACCAGGTTGGACTCAAACTCACAGATCCACCTGCCCTTGCCTCCCAAGTGTTGACATTAAAAGCCTGTGCCACTACACTGGACAAATGTCTAGTCACTTAAGTGACCTAGTCTATGATGTTACAGTAGCCAGAGGTGATCAAGGCCTATGTATCTTCTTTAACCAGGTTTTATGCCTGTGTTTATTGGTCTGTTTCATCTCCATACTGTTTTAAGTGTTCTTTTAGGTAGTATTCCTTTACTAGATGTTAGCTGAAAATATTTTCTATTTCTTCTATTTTCTATTTCTTCTCTTTCTCTTAATAAGAATTTTATGATTAAAAAGTGTATAAAATAGTTACCATTATTTCCCAAAGATTTCTCTTGTAGGGATTTTTTTTTTTTAATTACAATCTGTACCTAGAAAATAGAACCAGCATGTTGTGGGGTGCTTCTTCAGAGAAGACTATACTACTCAAGTTTTGCCTAATGAAAGTCGTTGCTGGCCAGGACTACTATACAAGGGTGTAGGAACCCAAGTGTGTAGCCCTGAGCCATCTCTAGGGTAAGCTTTTATACAGAAAAGTCATAACCGGGGTGAAAAATTTAAGTTCCCAATCTTACAGGTGCAAAGCCCCCTTAATAATTTCTATTCTATTAAGCAATAATTACTATTTTGCAGAAGCAAGCCAAACTTAACCTACAGAAGCCATAAATCTGCAGTTAGCAGGTGCTCTCCAGTATACAATGACCTGTTCCCAAGACAACTGGGTCCCCTGCCAATGTGTGTTCCCAGACCTTGGGCCAACTGCATGATAGTTCAGAGACTAGAGTCAGCTAGACTTTAATATGGTTACAAGCACCTAATAACAAAAGTAAGATAACTTTAAAATATATATATTTTTTATTTATTATTATTTTATGTGTATGAGTTTATTGCCCACATGTATGTAAATGCACCCATATAGTGCAATGTCTGCAGAGGTAAGAAGAAGGTGTCAGATCCCCTGGAAGTGATGTTACAGATGGTTGTCAGCCACCATGTGAGTGCTGGGAATCACACCCAGGTCCTCTTCGAGAGCAGTCAATGCTCTTAATCGCTGAGCCATCTCTCCAGGCCCCCAAAAGTAAGGTAACTTTTAAAAACTACACAATAGCTTAACAAAACTCGGTTTTATCAGCTAGGTGTGGTGATATACACCTTTAATCTCAGCACTTGGGAGGCAGATAGGTGGATCTCCAAGTCTAAGGCCATCCTGGTATACATGGTTAGTTAGTGAGTTCTAGGCCAAACTGATCTACAGAGTGAGACCCTGTTTTAAAAAAATTATTTTTAAACCAAATTTTCACATAATGCCCTACAGAGAAATAGAGAGAAATGTTTTTCACAAAAGCTTATTTGTTTACTAGTAGCATTTTGCTAAAACAGAAAACAAAAAAGAAAAACAAGAAAAGCACATAACTAAAACAAGTAAACAAAAATATGTACTTTCCTATGAAAACAGGAAAGCATGTACACAACGTACTAAGCCTGTGGGCTCCAACTTTGTACCAAAGCTTTTCTGTATACATCGTTCTACTTACACACAAATTTTATGTCAGAGATGCTAGAATGAATCCAAAAAGAAACTGTATTTTTAAATTTCCTCACATTTTCTTCCTCTTTGTAAGATCATCCTTTCAGATCATCTTCTTTAAGATTATCACTTGTCACTAAGCAAGGAGACAGTCTTTATTTAACTGAACAAAAATAATTTAATGGAAGAGATGGCTCAGCAGTTAAGAGCATTTACTGCTTTCCCAAGATTTGGTTCCCAGCGCCAACATGGAGGGTAACATCCATCCTTAACTCTAGTTTCAAGGGATCTGATGGCCTCCGTTAAGACCAGGCACACACAGAGTACACTGCTCACAGGCAGACAAAACACTCAACATTCACACATAAAATAAAAATAAATAAAACCTTTTAAAAAATAACTTGTTGCAATTGGAAATCAAATTATACTTCAGTATAATAAAACAGAACATTCTGTTGGAAGTATAATCAGTAAATACTAAATAATAAAATAGCTTTAAAATATTCATCACAAATTGTTGACAATAAACTAAAAATGCACTGAAGGTTACCTTGGGTTTGTTGTTGTTGTTTTGTGTGTGGTGGTTTCTGTTGTTGTTTTTTTTAGCATAGCTGGCCTAGAAATCATGTAAACCAGGCTAGCCTCAAAATCACAGAGATCCACCTGCCTCTGCCTCCCAAGTGCTGGTAACTAAAGGTGTGTGCCAGGCACCAAAACTGGCAGAAATTACATCTTTTGACATCAGGTAAATCTGAAAACAGTGTTTTTTAAAAAGCATCATTAGCTGGGCATGGTGACTCACATCTTTAGTCCCAACTTGGGAGGCAGAGGCAGGCAGATCTCTGAGAGTTCAAGGCCAGTCTGGTCCACATAGAGAGTTCCAGGCCAGCAGGGACTACAGGGAGACTCTGTCTCAAAAAGACCCAAAAAAGATCATCATTAATTAATTAATTTATTTTTTTGAGACGAGGTCTCATTACGGTACCCTAGCTGGCCTAGAACTCACTATGTCTAGAACTCACCAGGCTGACTGTGAACTTACAGATATCTGCCTGCTTCTGCCTTCCCAATGCTGGGATTAAAGGCCGGCATGCAGCAGCTACCATGCCCAGTGTCATTATCATCAATATTTAAATCGTACTATGGCGCAGTACAAGGTATAAGACCTAATACAAAGTAACGATACAGTGTACAGTCAAGAGTTTACTTAAGCTTTCTTTCACATACATATTTTATCTAATCCTCACCAAAAATCCTATAGTGCTATTCCATTATATACAACGAACACATTTTCAAGCTTGCTCAAGGTTACATGAGTAGCACTGGCCAGTGCTAGGCTAGAATGAAAGATTTCTGACTTCAAGGCCAAGGCTCCTTCTACTAAACTTATACCCAGGAACTGTCAGTCCACTTACTGTTCAGCAGACTACTTTATCAAAGATACCCAAGAATACAAAGAATACGAACTGGATGACAGAGGAACAATTAGCACTTGCCAGAAGAAACAAGGATTTGAACAAGGATTTGAAAGATTAAAAAAAAGATAGAGCAGGCATTGGAAAAAAGAAACACAAAGTACAATATTTAAGGAAAATGAGAATAAAAACTTCAGATTTACGGAGAGTTTTCATGTTGGGAAGAAATGAGACAAAGTGAAGAAAGCAAACTGGAACCGTAAGGCTCTACCATATTTTACTGACTACTGTTAGCAAATGTACTGTCACACATAATAAGCACTTAAATCATCTCACCTTAAGACTCTGAAAAATTGGTATTTTCCTTATTTTAAATTAAACAGAGTTGGGGGCACAGCTCAGTGGTAGAGCATTTGTTTCAATCCCCAGCACCCAAAAAGCCTAACCAACAAACCAAACCAAACCAATCAATAACAACAAAAAAAAAACTAGGAAAATGTCATTTAGTAAGGATTAGTAATCTTCCCCAAATCACCCAACTGATAATTCTAAGCAAGAGCCAGTCCTCCTTGGTCTCCATCATCTATGTTCTTTCCACTGCACACCCTCTTACACAACAGATAAGACCTTTCTTATGTACAAACTCAGAGCCTTCACAACATAGAAATGAAGAGAAACATCTGATAAGTAATGGCGACTTCTTTTTGTTCTAATTCCATGCACTGTGGCATTCTCTGTCTGAAGAATTTTGGCAGGACACAGAGCTCTCCCTTTCACTTCAGAAACTGAGGGGAGAAATCAATCCTCAGTAAGCCAAGGTCAAAAGTCCAGACACAGAAAAAATGTGTATCTTCAAACTGAACCTTCTGCAAGACTTATCTACTGTGTAGAAAAGTTCAATGACACCCAGAGTTTGGAATGTTGCAGGTCCAGGGCCTAATTACAGTT